ATAATAAACAATGCCAGGTGCATTGTGAGCATTCAAAATGTTAGTTAGTATTGACATTATTCTTGTTTTGTTGTAATTGTAGCATGGAAATAGTGGAGGGCACTCAAGGGAAAAGGATAAATAGAGAAAAGATGAATCATTGGACTAAAACCAGAGAGGCACTCCAAAATTTAAAGGCCAGGTAGAGAAAGAGGGGGCTGACAAAGGAACAGACAAGGCATAGCCAGTGGGGTAAGAGGAAAACCACAGTGAAACCAAAGTTGGCTGCTAGGACAGCAGTTAAGACAAAGCCAGAAAATTACCTATACGGAGCCCAAACTGCAGGGGAATGGAGAGTGAACAGAAACAGAGCAAGGGGAAATAGGCAATGAACACCATTTGTTTGGGAGTTTTTTTTCTATAAAAAGGGTCATAAAAATAGGACAGTAGTAAGATGAAAATGTATTTTATAAAGTTGAGGCATAATTTCAGATGTAGAGTGAATCAAGTCTGCAGACACAGCTTTGGGACTCCGCAGTGTTTTAAAATAATTTGACTCTGAATGTCTTTAGACTTACACATGTATTCTCAAAGACACTGCTGTAGCCAACATATTTTTTTTGCATTTATTTACTTTTTTATGTTCAGTTAGCCAACATACAGTACATCACCAGTTTTTGATGTAGTGTTCAACGATGTATTAGTTGTATATAACACCCAATGCTCATCACAAAACGTGTCCTCCTTAATACCCATCTCCTGGTCACCCTGTCCCCCCACCCCCCTCCCTTCTATAGTCACCATTTTTTACCTTCATTCAGTTCACTCGTGTTAGAGGGAATCCTCGCCTGAGTTTTGCCCAGAGTATACGTGTCTGTATGTAGAACTGACCTAGCAGAAAGGGAGATGCTGGGAGGGAGGAGATAATTAGAGAAGCACAGATCTTAAAAAGAGGAAAGAGAATAAGATCCTGGGCAACATTTGGGGAATTTACTTTTAACGTCTTGCTCTGTCACAGAAGGAGAAAACACAGAGGATGCATAAACGTGCAGGTAGATTGGATGGCAAAAGTTATAGAGTATTTTTCTGATGACTTCTACCATCACTCTAATGACTTTCTGTGAATAGAAAAGGAATACGGGAAGTTTGAGAGAAGAAATGTTATAAAATAGACATGTTAGAATAGTAGATCTCTTGGCCAGGGTTGAAGATCAATTTAAAGAATTTAAAATGACACCAATCATTGTTGTGTGTGATTTTCACTAGTAATACACAGCTCCTCAGATGCAGGAGAGAAGAAAGTTGGGAGCAGTATTCAACTAAAGTTGAGGTTTTTCCAGGTAAGTATGATGGAAAAAGAAAGAAAAAAAGAAGAAAGCAGAAAGTCCTTGAGAAGGTATAAATAGGATAATGGTGCTTCAAATCTAAAGGAAAGGAGAGATGTAAAGATAAGAGATGTAATGAACTGTGGAAAAGTGGTGGAGGCTATGGCAAGAAAGCAAAAAGAGAAATGATAATAGTGCCCCATTAGTAGGGTTAAGTACTATTTGGTGATGATGAGCTAGAAGGCATGACAGTGATGGTGAGTAGCTGGGTAGGAACGTGGTAACTTGCCTGCACATGTAAAGCTAAAGGAGCCATCATGCCACCACGAGAGATGGATCATGCACACGGAGGTTGGCATCCCTGGAAATAATGACAGGATCTGAGTAGAGGGTAAGAGTGAGCCACGAGCTAAAGTTGACAACAAGAGGTTTGGCTAGATCAAGCAGTTGATGACAGGGAGAGGTGACTGGTAGTGAAGCCAAATGCCATGAGTTTCAGAATGGCAAAATTTTTGAAAGAGTAAAGAGGACAAATCATTTGGAAGAAATAGTGTAAAACCAGAAAAATTGCTCCATCTTTGAGTTATGTGAGTGAAGGATAAAACAAAAAAAATCAAACCCGCCACAGCAGCAGAAAACTTTTTCGGGAGACAGCCAGATTCTTTTTTTTTAAGATTTTATTTATTCATTCGAGACACAGAGATACAGAGAGAGAGAGAGCAGAGGGAGAGGCAGAGGGAGAAGCAGGCTCCCCACTGAGCCAGGAGCCGGACGTGGGGCTCGATCCCAGAACCCTGACTCATGACCCGAGCCGAAGGCAGATGCTTAACCATCTGAGCCACCCAGGCGCGCCCAGCCAGATTCTTTTAAGATAAAAGAAGCAAAGGGACATTTTCCAAAATGAAACTGAGGGCAAAGGAGAGCTTGCAGATGGCAGGTTAGCCTTGAAAGATTCTGGAGGAGGTGATCAGATCAGATGAGGGTTTATGGTCCAAAACTCCAGGACTCCTACTGATGAGTACAAAGTCTCTAAGGCAACATGGGGATTCTTCAGAGGAAGGTAGCTAATCATTTCAGGGAATGGTTTTATGCCTTATAATCAGTGGGGTGGGATATCCACACCCTCTTGTCGCTCTTACTGATGTGGCCTTTTGGGGCTGAGGACAAGGACAGCTGTGTGCGGTCCTCAGAGGGCTCTTCTCTGTTCACCACTCTACAGAACAAAGAGCATCATTGAAAGAAGACCATTCTATTTAAAATTAATTCCATTTATGCAAGCAGGATGACATTTAATTAATTTTGTTAAGAATTGTAGTCAAAAGGATTTGTAAACTGTTTTGGGGCTTAAAGAGATAAAGCTAGAAAGCCTCAGTTACTATATAATGCACCTCGTCTTAATAACTGATCCCCTGAGGGTTTCTGATAACCAAGCTCAGGCTCTATTAAGAAAATTATCATGAAGCTAAAAGATATTTACCAAGGATAAGAAAGGCCGGACCTGGTAATTAATCCTTCTCACTATTAAATAGAAATTAGGTCCTCATGAGATTGTTACAAATTTGAGCTCCCACAGTTCAACATAGATTTTGAAATATTGGAGAGAGTCCAAAGAAGACCAAGAGAAAGGACTTAAAAATTATCTATATTTTATAAGGAAAAGTGAAAGGCTTATCTATTTGGAAAAAAAGAAAAGCTTCAGGAGTGATCCTTTCTGCCTCCAATCCTATATTAGGATAAGGAATTTAGTTATTAAATTGTTGTGAAACAATTGCATTAGTAGACAATGTTCTGAAGCCTAAGAACAATGTCACTTAAACCAATAGGTCACTAAAGGATAGTGTGAAAATGTTATTTCTGGAAATAGAATCTTACAGGTTCAGCCAGAGCCTTTCAGAAAAGAAGGGACTACTTAGATGTCAGATGTGTGCAGAGTATTAGATTAAATAATGGAGGCAGATGAAATATTAGGTATTTTCATGGATATCCTATTCATCTATTTTTATCCTAACGCACCTAAAAGAGCCCAACACCTAGTGACAGGTAAACAGCCTTAGGATCTAAGAACCTGAGAGACACCACCGCCTTTTTACCTTCACCTGCATCCCTCAGATGAGCTCATTAATCTGGGAACTTGATCCAGTGTGGTTTTCTCTTTATTTGGGTCCCATGTGACACTGGATAGCTTAATGTTTAAGTGTCACCCATCTGTGAATGGAGAACTCCTCTGATGGAGAAAGTGTTGAGAGAGTTAACCACATATAAACTCCTCGAACACACAGTGAGGGGAGCATTGCTGTGACAGAGCCAGCGTGGGAACTCGGATTCAGTCCTCTTTCCAGAAGTGCTTCTGAAAGTAGCCTCCATATCATATGACACTGCAAGGAGGCAGGGAAGGCGTCCCTACACCAAGGATGGTCTCTCTGCTGTTGGAGAGGTCTTGGTAGCTTCTGTACTTCACCCAGAATCACTGCTTCCATTACAAATTAAACTGGTCCCAAGAAAAATAACGCACACTGAGCACAAATCATGTAGACATGTGGAAGCAGGTGTGGGTGATGAGGATAATGACTGACAGCGCCCTGAATCCATAAGCAAAGAAGGTCGGGGTGGGGAGGGAGGACGGCAGGGAAGGAGGTGTGAGAGTCCTCAAGACAGACTCTCTCCTCCATCATTGTGCCCTAATACAGTTTCAAAATTCAATACGGCTATTCGCTTCTGGTCAAGGAAAAAGGATTCCTGATGCACAGGTTAGAACCAGATTCCTGGATTTATGGAAAGCATGCCAGAAGCCAGAATGCATGACACAAGTTTCGTCTTCCTCTAGAACTTTTGCAGTGTGAATGGAGGCAAAGAATGGAAGTTTAATATAAACGTATTTTCTCTCCAAATCTGAAATAAAGCTGAGTCTCATAAACCATGCCAGGTACCAGCAGCCTACAACAAATCTTGTATTCTGGGGGAAAATGTTTTTATGTAATTTGATTTGTTTGGCTCTCATAGATAAAAGGGAGAAAAAAGCAGCCTTTCTTTTTTTTTTTTTTTCAAAACACTCAGATCATATTTGTGCCGTTTCAGGACTTTTTTTTTTTTAAATGGGCATGCAGAGGGTTTATTGTTTCATTGCTCTCAGAGCATTCCAAGCAGTCGAAATAATATGGATTTTTTTTTTTTTACTTACCCAACATTAAAACAGGTACGACTTTTGCAACCTTTATTGAATTTCTGTTAACATTAATGAAAAGTGATGAGAGCAATTCAAGACATGCAAGGAAAATTATTTCTTATTAGCACAATTCTAAAATATTCATCTATAGTATAACTGTACACATTAACTTTTTCTTAACCTGAGCTTGGTTATCAGTGAAGTAACCTAAGAAGTATATCCATCTTCTTAACTAAAATTAGACATTTCTTAACTGGTTTTCTTAACATCTGACATCTATAACTCGTTGTAGATGAAATATAGTAAAACCAACTTTTTCCATTTAAAATGTTTAAGAGGACACATTGGCAATGAGAACTCCTTTAACATAATTTCAAGAGCTCTATACACTATGTCATTTGGATTCTACTGCTTATTTTGAGTGACTATAAAGTAATTTGGGGTCTCTAAAGACTGAGAGGCATTTCTCAAGGTTGGCTTTTCCAAACAGAAAATTGAGTGTTATAAACTCCACCTCCCACAGACCAGAATTCACAACCATTGGTCAGGGGCAAATATTACTGGCTCTGCGTCCTCAGTCACTCCGTGCCATTTCACCAAGTAGGAGCCAAAGGTAAGTTTTTACACTTGCTTTCTTCTTGGGTCAGAGACTTTTTTTCTTCCTATAATAACCTTTTAAAAAATAATTCAATTTGTTTTAATATCTCATGGTGAACTTGGATGCAATGGATTGGGTTAAAGTTTGCTATTTTATATTTATGTTATTCTTGGAAAATCCAAAATTTTGAATTAGCCCAAGAATTAATAGCATCCAGTAAAATAGTTGCTCTTAATAGTCAGGATAGATGCCAATAAAATTATAGTAGTTTCCAATATATTCTTAAAGCAAGTGCCCTGACATAGACCATGTTCCTTGCCAGGATAGCTAGGCACTATTGATTAGTATTGATTGAAATATTACACAACAGAAGAAAAAGGGGAGATTTCAGGTGTTTAAAAACATACTGATGATCCTATGGGAATTAGGCATTTGGAATGTCTTTTTAATGTCTATATTTTAAAGCTTTATATAAGCATAATTCTCAAAATATCATGACATGGTGTGAAGTGCACAACAAATTCAAAGTCTCAACAAAGACACTACATGAAATACTAGTATAGTCACTTGAAGGAAGAAACATCCTTTTAAAGCTAAACATAGAGAGGTGTTCTTCATAGTTCCAGGCTTTGCACAGACTTTCTTACTGCTGATAGCTCTAGAGGGATATGCACAATGCAAGTAAACTCTGAGAATGTAGACACTTAATATCAAATACAGAGTATAAAGTGAGAAAAATAATCAGCAAGTGCATAATTACTTTGAACAATGAAAGTTGCCAGAAATGTAGAAGGAAAATATTTTTTCGAGGTTAGTGGTGGCCCCTGTGAATGCCTCCCACTTGAAAAGGGAAGAATGATTCCTGGAGGATTTGTAAATCACACCGGTTGATTAAGTAGGACTTTGTTGGTGACTGTGTACAGCGGTTCCAAATCCCCAATCCTGCAAAGAGCCCTGCAAAGGTGGGTAAAATAGAGCCTTGGCTTATCCAGTGTGAATAAAAAAAATGATTTGAAGAAAGCATAGGAGGGAATAAAAAGGAACTCCTTGTACTGCTTCTTTTTCTCAGAGGGATTTCATATCCCTCTGCCTAAACCTGCTTAATAAAGACTTTCTTTCAAGTAACTGAAGGTCATTTTGTCTGCCAGTGCATTCAAGTTTAAAAGTAATATTTATCATGAATTCCCTTTTACGTGTGTGCATAGGTACAAACACCAGAGGTTCTGTTCTTGAAGTAACCTAAGAAGTGTAACCAAAATACAAAACCTTTAAAATTAGACATGCTTGATAAAAAGTTTTACAAATGCTTTGCTTCCTCAATAAAGGACCACCAGGTAACATTTTTGATAGGCCCAACTTAAATGTTTAAAATTAAACATGAGAGTTTTTTTTTCTTAAACTAAAATGTATTCAAAGGAGCACATACAGAACTAAAATAATTAAAATTATAAATGTTATACATATATTATACATATATATATTTATACATATATAACATATTATACATATATTATAAATATAATTAAAATTATAAGATTTTGATTGAATTCTCCCCAAAAGCAGGATGTTATCATGGAAAATAAGAATTGTGCTTAACAAAGAATTACAAAACAAAAGAGTTTTTAATCTTATGTGTGTGGAAATCCTCTTCGAAGGAAATCTTGCCAAATAGTATCTTTTAGACATGGATCCTTGATTCTGAGTTTAAAGCTTAGATGGCTATTAAGAATTGAAAGAAAACACTAAGGACTAAAGGAGAAATAATTTTCTTTTCTGTTCTATTCAGTTAAGAATAAGTTTTGAAAAGTATCGCATGAAATATTAATGTGTATGTATATTAAATTATGTATGCATTAATGATACCCAGAGGCAAGAAGGAAGTAAAAGGGAAAAAAAAAAAAAAAACCTTCATTATTTTGACTGGAAAAAGCCATAGGCTTGAAAGTGCAAGAAACAGTTATGAGTCCTAGTTAGGTCACTAGCCAACCCTGTTTTGGTTTCCTCACCTGAAAAATGGAGTAACAGTAAAATAGTTCTCCTCCTCCTCCTTCCTACTCCCAGTTGAAGAAAGAAACTTAATGCTTAGTAAAAGGTAAAACTCTAATGCACAAGCTTTTGTGAATAAGTGCATGACAATATTTCCACATCCTATTTTCTCTGTGTTTCTCTATGAAGTAAACTTAATTTCACCGCAATTACACTATCTACGTAAAAACATGGATGGGTTTGTGATTAATTTGAGCATCGGTATCACAAGTCTTCCGAATCCATACAATTTCCTGTGTTATGTTTATAAATGATCCGTGTAAAGAAAGCTACCGGCTTGAGTTCCACAGCATTGACATTTATTTATCATTCCTATTTAGTGAAAAATATTCATAAGTTATCATCAATTAAATATTTATACATTTTGGCCTTTTTTGATTAGGAAAGCTTGAAAAATGAAAATGTTGGCAAGACTCGTTCTGGGACTTGTCATCTTCAATGCTGCTGGGACTGCTCCAACTCTGGAACCCATCAACTATGACTCAGAAACATACGATGCCACTTTGGAGGACCTGGATAATTTATACAACTATGAAAACATACCTATTGGTCAAGCTGAGGTAACTGATTCCTCACTCTTGAGACTTTTAAGAGCATGAGTATGGGGAATTACTGAGATGCGTTCCTTTCAAATAGATTTTTGTTTATGTATAAATAGAGATGTTCTATCTTAGTAATTTCATATGACCCTTCCCTCAGAATGTATTCAATCTGTTGGAGGTTAACATTAGGACACGCTTTTGCTTTCTCACAGTTCACTTCATTTCCTTTATATCTTCTCACAAAATTAAAGCCACAACAACGAAAATGTTTCTATCAAGTTAAGACAAGAGAAAATGAAAGGAAAAAGCAGTCAGTAAGGAAGAGTGGAAATAATACACATGCAATGATGAGGAAGTTGGGGAAGTTTGGGGCAAAGAAAAAAGATGTGAGATTAACATAAACTGGAAGAAAATAAAAAGAATGCAAAGAACAGACAATGATTTGGAACTCCACTGTATTCCAAGAGTGGATGTGCTTTCTGAAATGACTGATTATCTCTCAGCAGTAATGTAGACATTGGCAAGGTTACAGCCCATTACATAAATCTGATATGACATGTTTCTAATTAAATGTTAGACTTTTTACATAACTAAAGGATACAGACTAATTTTTCTGAATCAGAAAACAAACAGACCTTGAAATGTTGGCATGTAATTAAAGTACAACATTGACAAAAACTAATTAAGAAGAAATCAACCAAAAGAGAAATTACATCACCTATACAGGATCATAACATATTTTGGGCAGTCATTCAAGTGCAAATCTTCTTAGAATAATTACTTTTGATAACTAGGGAAATAAAATATTCAGACAAAAGCATATATTTAAATGGAACTCAGCTATATCTTTATTAAGAGGATAAACGTTCTCATCATTGTTTATGTTGCCTGATGAAATTCAAGAATCAAATTTGCACAATACTTTTCACATCTTTTCCCCAACTCCATTTTCCTTTCCATCTCCCTCTCTTTTGGCTTCAGTCTCCCCTCACCCCAGGCCCCACTCCTTTTCTTTCTCCCTCTTTCTCTTTCCTTCTTTTTAGTAAAGTTTTAGGGTTATCAGAAGACCACTGTTCTTCTGCAAAGTTGTAACTCTATTTTCCAAGGCCTTATTCACTGTTTGATTCATTTTGCTGTATGTCTTCTATTATGTTAAGGGTATTTTCTGTGGAGTTTACAACCAGTCTTGTTGTATATGATCTCTGCATCTCCAATCTAATGCATCAGTGAAGAGTATAAGGAGAAAATTTTTCAGTGATTAACTCATCTGCCCTGCTCCTTTTCCCATCTTGCATAAATATTTTAAGAAAAAAAAAGACTGCATATGTCTGTGCAGTTATCTACCAAACTAAATATTGTAGTTTAAATTTACTTGTCATGCCTCCAAAAAATATTTTATAGGATCAAGGATCAAACTCGCAGGTTTGGTGGGTACCAAAAGTAAGTCCTCTGTTTTTAGTAGGCCTGGGGAGTGGACTTTAGGGAGGGCTCAGGCTGCCCTAGATAATATTGTGAAGGAGAGGAGCTTTATCTGCAGACTTCTTTAAAGCCATTCCTTGCTGTCAGAACCCCTTTTTACTGCACATTCTCATGAGATTCTGAAGTTCTTTCTGACATCAAGAAATTTAAGCTAATAAATTGAATCTATAGAAAGATGATTTAGTATACAACCCTTCCTCAGTATTTGCTTATTCTGAAAGAGCAACTTCTTACAAGGTACCAAATATGTGGCATTGTATCCTCTTACCTCATTCAAGCATCCCTAATTTTCACACTGGCTTAGCCAAACTTAGCATCCTTAACAACTGCGGGATCCAGAGAGCTACTAAATAATCTCTTGTTGCTGATTGAAATAGGTAAGTCCTCCTTGATTTAATAATCTTTTGTGATGAAGTCATCATCAGAAAACCAATTTATAGATACATGATATACATATATACATATACATATACCTGTGCTATAATGAAAACATAATACATTTGAAAACAAACTATGCATATTTTTTTAACTTTACCAAGTTGGTCCAGTAGCAAAAATCAATCAGCCAACCCACTCACCCACCACCTATGAAACAAAAAAATACAAAAACAATGTGACATAATACATAAAATGACATGAGGAACAAAATTCAGAACTTCAGCTTAGATCATAACAGAACATTAATGTTAATATTATTCTTTGTTTACAGACAAAGAATATACAATTCCTTATAGAAGGATGTGAAATAAAGCCAATAGATCTAGTCATGTGAGTGGATTCTAGAATACAGTTACTCATGATATGAGTTTCTTGAATTTAGTCTTGGAAATTCAGATTCTGGCAACTCCTGATAACCTTATTTGTCTCATCTCTATAAATTAAGAGCAATTGTTCTATATGTTTTTGATCCTCTGTGATACTTTTTGTATGAACGCTGGTAACATATCCATCTAGGGGACAGTTGATGAAAAAATTCATAATAAACAAAGCACATGGAGAATGGTGGGATCAGGTTCTTTAGATTTTGTCCTCAATGCCAAGAGTATGGTTCTGTCTATCTTAGCTTAGAATTTATCATCTATAGAAAAGGCAACCTTATATTTTAAAATTGCAAGTTTATAGAATAACTGAACAATGCTTCTGAAATATATGCCAGTTTCTTTCTTCTAAACTGTAAGACTTGGCATCCTAGCCAATATAGTAGACCCTCTAGACTTTGAATGATTAATCCTTAAGGTCTCTATGAGGTAAGCAGAATTCTAAGATGTCCCCTAAATGACCCATCCACTGGTCTGTCCATGCCCTCTATAATTCTTAATATCACGGATATATTGGGATATCACTCCTATAATTAGGTTATTTTATATGGCACAACTGAAATTTAAAAAGGGAAGTTATCTTGGTTGGCTTGACTTACACTTGTGCTCACTTTAAAACAGTGTCTTGAGGTCGGGGACAAATTTTGAAGCATGAGAGAAATTCAAGGCAAGGGAAACTCTCTGTTGCTGGCTTTAAAAATGGATGGGTCCATGTAGCAAGGAATGCAGGAAGTCTCTAAATTTTGAGAGAAGCTGACAGCCAGTGAGCATATAGAAACCACAGCACTGTAGATACCAGGAACTCAGAGCCCCACATGAGATCACAGCCCTGGCCATTAACCTTGATTTTGGCCTTGTGAGACCCTCAGCAGAGAACCCAGTCAGGTCATCCCTGGACCCACAGAAACTGTCAGTTAAAAAATGAGTATAGTTTTAAGCTGATAAATGTATGGTAATTTGTCATGCAGCCATAGAAAACTAATAACAATATGTAATAATGTAAATTTTTTCCTGAAACCCAAATTTGAATTATACTGCTGCAAAACTTGCATTTATGGATCCAGTGATTTATCTAGCAATGAGCCCAATCATCCCCTGAATCCCGGAGTTAGAATCTCAATAGAGCTTTGTTGATTTCTACTGGTGGTAATATATTCATTACCTCCCTAGTGATTAGAAAGGGTCATGAAAGAATTTCTGGTTTTGAAAATCTTATGCAGTAACAGTACTCCTGACTGCTGACTTACGTGATTTCTGATGGTTTAGAATATCCAGGGTCTGCTGGATTCTGTTAGGAGGCCCAACAATTGCATCATGATGCTCTATGTTACGTAGCGGATAATGGATAAATTTGCTGGTATAATATAAAATTGTTGCAGGTTTTTACTTAGCTTTTATTTTACTTTAATGATATTAGTAGGAATTGGGTATAAGCCTTAAGACCAAAATATGAACTTTTTGCTTTCTGATGAATATTAGCTAAGCTTGATTGAGCGATTATGTGCTGCGTATTATTCTAGGCCTATCACAGGCATTATCTCATTTCTGACAACAAAACTAGGAAGTGCTATTGTTATTTTCATTGAGTAGAAGAGAATATTGAGATAAAGAGCAGGTAAGTAACTTAACTAAGATTATAGTTATTAATGACATATAATTATAGTGATATCTTCTCATATCAGAAAATAACTTCCAGAAGGTTAATAAAAAATTATATTATCCTCCCTCTGTTTCCTACCATTTTCCAAATTGTCCTTTTAACTTGCTATTTGTTTTAGTTGAACTGAACGCTGGTGCTCCCACTTTGCTAAAAGAGAAAGAAAGCATTGTTCTATGGGTGAATAATGTAAACTAGAAGTAACCGTTATAGACTGTTGACTTACCTAATTACTGTAAGAAAGAATGGCGTAAGTCTAACTACTTCAAAGAATAATTGTAGATAGGCATTCTCCAACATATTATATCTATGGTATGGGCTAGCCAGCTATCTATCTAATCTTTATATAGCTATAGATATATAAAAATCATACATATTTGGTGGCTTGGAATGCAGGGAAACATTTTGCTATTTGCCTTAAAGATTTCATCAGAACAAGTTCAAAATTTGGTATTCTCTGATTGATTTAAATTCAGTCTGTGTTTTTGACTAAGGTAGGTATTTGGTGTTTCTGTTTTCATAATATAGTTCTGGGGTTATTGATTTTTCATTTCTCTTAGGTCTAAGATAAACACTGGCCCTGACCATGAGTTATTTCTTTTACCCAGAAAAGTACTCAGTGGCTGTATTAATATTTATAGAGGATATGAACTTCCATTCCTGCAGTAAGTTCTCCTTGGCTCCATCCAATCAGACTGATCTGCCCTATACTACCTTACATTAGCCTTATATAATTACTTTTACTTAATCTTCAATAGACACTATGAATGTTGTAGTACAGAGCCCTGTGGAGACTTGATTGTATTTAATGTGGGACAGTATGAAGGGCATTTAAAATGATAGCATACAATGCTCTTCAGGAGGATATGGAGTAGAAATTTCTCTCAGGCCTCAGTGTCCAAATGGATTGCAAATTTTAAAGAAGTTGCTTATTTTGGGGGGCTCTACATCTTGTAACTAATTGTGCTTGTCATTTTGCTCAAAATCTGGGGCTTAAGTTTTTGCTTTATTCTTTTCTCATTTTACTTATTTATTTATTTAGATGTATTTATTTGAGAGAGAGA